ACGCTCAAAGGTTCGCCGCGGGATAGGGCGGTGGATATGCAACGGAGGTGGTGCCGCGTGTACATTCGAAGGGTCTCCTCCCATTGCCGCTGTGGCTCAGTGCCGAACCGATCAGGGTCCCGCAAAGATTCTGGGTTAAATGTATACGCTTGCCAGTTACAGGCTTGATTGCGACCAAAAAAAGTAAATGAGAATACGGGAAAGCGAGTGCAAGAATGAAGAAGAAAAAGTAAAATATACAGCACTGGTTAAGTGCTGGCGTGATGCGGCTGTCGCTGTGTTCTGGCTGGGATGTCAATAGACCTAAAGTCGTGTCAGTGCACGTGAACCTGACCTGGAGCACCCGCTTAGACTCGTGTCAGCACGGTCATTGTAGCCTCGCAAACTTACCGCTTATAGGCAACTCGACTGATGACTTTAGGCGAGCAAGTGACTGATGTAGCGTAGTGGGCGAGGAGGTGGTGATGTAGGCGCCGCTGGGCCTTGTCCTCACATGTGTCACCGGAGTGCTATCATGTGAAGATCGGCCCACGGTTCCGCTTATTGCTCCGCTGTCATCCGCTTTCTCAACAATTCTAGTGGATCGAGCATGTTTCATTATGTTCGGCCAATTCTGTTGGACATTTTGTACTGATACACTATACCTTCCGTGTTCGGGATGCTACATATACCCCCCCCTGCCTGTCCGACGCTGCCCAAGGCATAGCTGCAAACGAAAACGCTTTTTGGTGTCTATCCCCAAGTGCAACCGACTCCAGACATAAATGCTCAGAACTATGATGCACATGTTATTGTGGCCGTCGTATTGTTCGTGTCTACGTCGTCCCATCGTCAGATGTGTAATGTGAGCTCCCCAGGAGCTACCCCGCTACGCCTCCCCTCTCAATCGACGATGGGTTGAAGGATGTTACCACTGCAAGATCGTCAGCATGCATATGTCGTTGGGAATGCAGTCAAACTTACGCCACAATGTTGGCCCATCCAATAAGACGCCAGTGCTTCTCGATACGCCTGGACAAAGCCACCTTTTCGCCAATCTCTGTGCATGCAGGTGAGGTCAGGGAAAGACGTGCAGCGTCAGCCTTGACTGCGACAACCTTGGCACCCGTAGCAGTGGAACCAATGTTAACCATCTGATGAAAACATGAGCCTTCTTATTCAGTTTGAGCACGTGCTTTAGACTTACGAGGACTTCGTTCTTCGCAAGCTTGGCAACCTTGGCCTGCTTGCCGTCTGCGGTCTTTACACCGAGCAATCTTCGGAGGAGGAAGTAGTTGACTTCAAGCTCCGTGTAAATATTGGGAAGGTGTCCACGGAGACCAAGGACGAAACCGACAAGACGATCCGCACGACACAGGGTAGGGTCTACACGTGTACCGACACCTGACAGGTGTTAGTCCGACGATCGCCACTGCAGTAACATGGGGATACATACCAATCAAACCACCAGGAACAGCAAACTTCAGGTCATTGTGCTCAGCGAACAAGGACACAACTCTTGAAAAGATGGGCTTGCACTGAATCTTTCCAGCGCTGTCCTTGGACACAATACCAGGCCTAATCTCAATCTCGTCACCAAGCTTCAGCACACCAGTCAAGATACTGCCACCAGCAACACCACCCTTCAGCTCGTCAATCTCAGCACCAGGCTTGTTGACGTCGAATGATCGAATGACAATCATGTGTGGCTTTGCGGAGAAGTCTCGGACTGGAACTGGGATCTTGCTGATGAGTTGCTCATTGATGGCATCAATGTTGAACTTCAATTGCGCCGAAATGGGAACGATGGGGGAGCCATCGGCAACTGTTCCTCGGATAAACTTCAGAATGGACTCGTAGTGGGCGGCAGCGCTGTCCTCCCGCATCAGGTCGACCTTGTTCTGGAGGATGATGATGTGGTTGAGCTTCATAATCTCAATGGCAGCAAGATGCTCACTTGTCTGCGGTTGCGGGCAAGATTCGTTTCCGGCAATCAACAGCAGTGCAGCGTCCATGACGGCGGCGCCAGACAACATCGTGCTCATGAGAATGTCGTGACCGGGGCAATCGACGAACGAGACGTGGCGCTTCAATCGGTATCGTCCTCCACATCCTTCACGCTCGCAAGGCGGGTCGACCTCCTTCTCACTCTTGTATGATCGGTAGCATGTGGGGCGCGGGCACTCGGAGTTGTCGCACTGGTAGATCTTTGCGTTTGCGTAACCGAGCTTGATGGTGATATTCCTCTCGAGTTCGTTCTTGAAACGGACCGTCTGCACACCAGAAATGGCTTTTACTACAGTACTCTTTCCGTGAGCGACGTGACCAATTGTTCCAATGTTGATGGTAGCCTGTCGGGAAATGATTTCTGGCGACAGCGGGCTCAGCGTTGAGACGTCGAGGGTGCTTGGGTCTGGTTGTTCGCTTGTGCGCATTAGCCGTGATGCTGATATATGGGCTGCATATTTTTTGGCAAACCTACGGCAATTCTGGACGCTCTACAACGGGCGCTGGCTCCCGGCCCTTCTTGAGCGCAGACTTTGGCTTTATCTCCTCAACCTCCTCGTGCTCAGATACGCTCTTGTCATCGCGGAAATCGTTGTCAGATTCGGACTCCATAATGGGCAATCTGTGTGTTTTTCTTTTTTGCTTCTTGGCAGGGAAGGGGTAGGGCTATCTAAGCGGCCGGATGCGAGGGCGTCAAGATGTCGGACAGATGGTTGCAGTGGAGACGGGCGGCGGCCAACTTTCGACTTCAAATCCCACACAAAGTGACTCAAACCCAGTACAGCGTCGAGTGGTGGCGGGGCAGTGCCAAGCGTCTAGCATCGGGGAAAGGTTGTGCCGGGGTGGCCGACACAAAACTTCAGCTGCGCCCGTCCCCGGCTTCTCTTCTCCATTGAACAACGCAAAAAATTTGCACACTCACGAAAAGCATTTTCATTGGAGAGACCCGTCGTCTACGGATGGTGTGAGGTTTCCATGAGAACGAAAACCGTCTGTGAAGTGGAGAGGAATACAGTGGCTGATCTTGGGTGCGGTTTCTCCCTGCTTTTGCAGTGGGAGAGAGCGCAATGATCGGTCGTACATTTTTATGTGACGACGTGCACGTGATTGATTGATGTGTATGCAATGAGTTTATGGCATTGTACTGCGGTCGATGGACTTTTGCCCTGAACCGCAGTATGCTGTGCGATTTGTCTCTGTTCTTGAGGCAATGTATACCTTGTGCTCGTCGCACTATGTCTACTTATTTGCACAAGTGCTGTCAAAGACCGATCAGGTATCGGGACGCATGTTGCACAAGCTGTGAATACCATGGGCAATTATCAAAGTCCATGAAGCATAGCTTGCTCTCTCTCCTTACCCCCTTAGACCATCCAAGATTTGAGTGGGTCATCTTGGGTTTAGGGGGCTAGTCAAAGTCCTTGTCCCCTTTTGGATGCAACACAAAGCGAGAGCCATCAATCGGCCGAACATTCCTATGCAACGCAACGAGACCATTTTTGAACAAGTATCGCAAGACTACCTAGTGTAGTCCACTTACCTCATATGAGTTGCCCAGTAGAGAAAAAAATTCCAATGATCAACCCCGCAATCGCAACATCCTACAGAAAACCACAATCCCAAGAACTATCCTTCCATCACATACTACTTCCTTCCCACACCTAAATACAACCCTCCCCCGAAAATCCCACCAAACACACTCTACTCCACAATCATACATGAATCAAACACACTCCCGATTCCCGCCCGCCTCTCGTATTTTTCCCACCCAAAAACAATCCAGTAGTAGCAGCCCGCACAGATGCTGCAATTTCCACCAAACCGCAGCGCCTCTCCCGCCGCCGCTGCCCCCCAAAAAGGCCAAGACAAAACCGCGTTAATCTCAACGTCTTTTCTGCGCCATGAAGCATGAGTAGCGTAAGTAGTTCCCGCTGGCTGGGGGTTGCTTTGAGGTAGGCCACTAGATACACTTTTTACTTACTTTGCTTACTTGGACTACGTACGTAAAGATGTTGGATCGCATTAATCCCCCCCCCGCGCGCGCATATTTTGGTCTGGGTGGGGTTTCGATATGTATAAGTAAGAAAGGGGGGGGGGGGGAAAGCAAAGGTATAAACGAGACAAAGATGACGGAGGAGGAAAGCACGCAGCAGTGACAAAAAGCCGATAACATAGTAATAGTAATAATAATAATATCAGATTCTTAAGATACTCTACTTTCCCTTGCTTCATTCCCTCCCCTCCTTTCTATACAAAAAGCGCAGGAGACCGACCTATCCTTTTGGTCCAGCTCAACTACACACACCTCTTATTCTCTAGCGCAACTGTGTCGATTTCCGATTTAATGAATAAATAAAATAAAAACAATAGTATATACAAAGTTAATTTGAGGAACATGGTAGTTGTCACCTCTGGTCTTCTTCTTCTACTTCTTCTTTAGATAGATAGATAGATGATGACGATGATGATGATGGCGGTTTAAAAAAGCAAAAAAGGACAAAAGAAACAAAAACTCCATCTATGCAACATGAAAAACAACAACAAAAGAAAATGTTAGGAAACAAGAGGGGGAGGTTTAGATGATACGGAAGAAATGAAAGAAGGGGTGGTTGTTGGTGGTGGTGGTGGTGGTGATGGTGGTGTTAAATGCTGTTGTCGAGCTTTCAAACAAACTTTCAAAGGGTGTTTCGCGCTGCGTAAAGTTCGTATATCATCGTCTTTTCTGCCTCTTTTTTTCCCTCTCTCTTACTCTGCCTCTTTCTCCATCTTCCATCTTCTTTCTTCCCCAGAGCGGTCTCTCGTATTATCCAAAATAAGAAGCGCCGATTAAACCTCCCCCTCCCCCCACTACCAGCCCACTATACAAAAACTGACGCAGTATTAATACTTTGAAAAACGGTCCCCTCTCCCTCTCTTTCTTCGTGAGTGAGTGAGTGAGTGTTATGTATGAAGTATGTGTGTGTATATGCAGCCGGAGAGAATAATAAAATGTACTACTATTACGGGACATTCTACTATGATGTCTTGCCCGCTTCGTACACGCGAGCCATGAACTCGTCTTCGTCAAGCTCAACCTTCTTGGCTTTGAGGGTATGCGCTACCTGAGCGGCATCACCCTCCATGCAGCTGCCTTCCAAGATGCACAGGATAGCTACGGCGGCTCGTGGTAGGTTCTTGTCGCCTTCGATTGTGTAAATGTCCATGATGCGTGCGGCGTGCTCGACTTCCAGGCGTCCGCAGAACAATGAGCCAAGGGCGTGGAAGAGGTAGTCTCGGGGCTCGACACGTAATGTTTCTAATCGTTGGGCGAGGCTTGGTGCTTTCTTCGATAGCACGTGGAGAGTGGTTGTGTATGCGGCGTGGATGGCATTTTGGTCGTGGACAAGGAATGATAGAGGCAATGGGCGATTGAGCAAGTTAGACAGTGCGATAAAGGCTTGCGGAGCTGAGAGGTTAAGCAGGAGCAATGCGGCAATGTGATGAATGTCGAAGCTCGAATGAGGGATATCCGGCCGATACATGGAATAAGCCAAACACACGTTGACCAGGTCCTTGTGGAGGGGCTGCTCGTCGTCATTCTCTGGCGATGTTTGCGCTGCAAACATCTTGAGCCTAGGAAAGACCTTGTGCGTGCTCTGGATGATGTAAAGGTAACGGCCTCCGAGCGCTTCGTGGCCGTGTGCTTTTACTTCTGCCTGTGCCTTTTCCAATGCAATGTTGTACGTTAGCTCGGTGACTTCGAGGTCGTTGCCGATTGCCGTTTGCCATACTTGGCCCCGCAGCCGTGGTGGAATGCCGTTCCACCACATCTTTCGGTGTGTTGCTCGAAGCTCTGGATTCGTCATTTCGGTAGCCCAGTTTGGAAGTAATAAGCTGGACCAGTATTCCGCCTTGATGCGACTAGCTTTTTCGCGAGCGAGCGCCTCTTCTTGGGCACGTTTAGCCTCAAGGCGTTCTAAGTCGGTTAGCCAGACTTTCAACAAACTGCATGAGAAGTGATGCTACTTACCAGCCTCCTCGATCCGAGCCAACATGCGCTGGTACTCTTTGAGGTGCTTCTTTTCTTCCTTGGGGTCCTTTGGTGGGAGCCAGGATGGCCGTGTCCGAGATAGGTATTTTTGCTTCTCAACGGACGGCTGGAAAGGATCAATAAGTGGATCACTCTTTCGCACCGGTGGGAGTGTCGGCTTCTTGGTTTTTGGCACTGTCTGGCTCATAGATGCTGACCTTGCGAGCCCAGGCTGTTGCCTTGTGATTTCCTGTTTCCGCTCATATTCGGATTGGAATTCTTCTAGTGCTTCCGTAAGCTTCCTGGCGTCTGCGTCCAACGCAGTATATGTGTCTGCCCATGTAGTTTGTGGCGTCGGTGATTTCGGGGATACGCCCCTGCTAGACACGTTTGGTGATGGGTCTCTGTGGTGTACCGAAGGCGCCGGAGATGGCTTTGCTGAAGACTCGGCAGTGCCGGGAAGTGGTGACGTCTGGGGAGTGTTGTCACTCGTCCAGGGTGCCGGGGATCGCTCTTGTGTGGGACGCGGCGATATGGGAATATTCCAGATGACAGCATCTTCGGGAACTTCATCATCCTCATCATCACACTCCGCCTCTCTTTCCTTGACCGTCTTTCGTTTTGAGTCTTGCCAAGACTGTCTTCTGGAAGCTAAACTCGGAGACGGCAAGACCTCGTTTCGAGAACTTCTCCGGGAGAGTGTGCGTGATCCTGACAGGGATTGGTGGGTGTTTGATGGGGAGGGCGATCGTGAGGAGCGGTGTGGCGCTGCAAGACCCAGAGTGCTGAGCGAGGGAGCCGATGGCGAAGTCAGGGCTCTTCTGGCCGTCTTGCCAGGTGCAGACAGCTGCGTCTGCTGTCTTTGTACGGCATGGCTGACGGTGCCCACTAGACTGGGATACTTTGGTTTGGCTGTGCCCGTGAGGTCGCGGAACGAGTGTTGGGTGGGATGTGAGAGTGTCCTAGCCGAGGCGGGGGCTCGCGGAGCTTCGTAGACAAGGCGGTTGGACGGACTTGTGGGCATGGGAAAGGAGGCTGGCCCCCCTGAAGCCTCATCCAGGTTGATGTCTTCAAAGTGGGAGAGGTTTTCGGTGGTGCCCATAAAGTCGAGCAGGGTGGATGAATGGATGCTCGACGACTTGGATGACTTTGAGTTTGTCAGGTCGGGCGGGCTACCGGGCGGAGCGCCAAAGTGCGAGGACGCATCCTGCGCATAGGTGAGGGTGGCCATGAGCGGTCGGGGATGTTTTCGGGGTGTTGCGAGGGGCGGTGGTGAGGCAATGCGGTGAAGGAGGATGTCTGCGCAGGAATCGCGCGCGCAGGGAGGCGGACTTAGCGAGCGGACATAACGATGCTCGGATACAATGTACAGCGACTTTGTCTGCGAGATGTAGTGGACGTCTTGGTCGAGGTATGCAGAGTCGTCGGCTTCGTCAACAGGAGGCAGCTGCTGGCAGTGTTGTACGGCAGGCATCTTGAGCGTCGGCGGCGCAATTTGCAGAACTGGCGCTAGCCCCTGATCTCTCAGATGGGGAACAGGGGTGTCCAACAGTGGGCCTCGTTGTGCTCTGGGCCCATGGGCGGCTGAAGTGGCCTTGAACACGTTAAATTGCGAACCAATGTCTTTGTCTTGTCGAAAGCTGGTATATGGGCATCCGGGCGGGGATGCAGTGCCCGTGTCTCGACAGGCTGCCCGGCTTATGAGACAAGTGCGGCCAAGTCGAGTCAGCCTTCTAAGTAAGTATGTATGCTTCTGCAAACGGGCTATGCTCGGTGCGGGCAACTAGCAATGCGTTTTACAAAGCTCTCCGCGTTGAAAATGTGCCTATGCCTACTTGACCCCAGCACACCAGGTCTCTGGAGGGTGTCCCAGCCCGTCGCATGTGCGCTTGACATCACCACCCCATCGCCCGCGGATGGGCCAATCATGCCAGCCCTCGGCCGTCTGTCACGCCCCATGGCCATGCTTTTCGTGGAACCAGGCCTGGTCCGCGTACAGACGACGCCGTTTCGCCTGTTTCCCTCCCCAATTGCTCTGCATCGAGTACCGAACAAAGACATCATCGCGCCCTGCTATCCATCCGTCACTCCCGAATGTCCTGCAGCCAAGCCCCGAGCCTTGCTTTCGCGTCTACATGCCGCCGCTAATTATGGCGTGGCGTGGCCCCCCGGTACAGATCCTTGGTTTGCTTCTTGCTTAGCCCCCCCGAGCCATCAAGCTCCGCCGAACACACAGGTACCATTGCTATCTACAGCAATACACAGTACTTTTTTGTTTTCGGGACTTTTGTTCTTCTTCTTCTTCTTCTTCGTCGCCGCCGTTGTTGGGTTTGCATGTGCTCTATTGTTTGTTTGCATTCGATCCGTCCTCGCAAACACGCCGTGTGCCCTGCCTGGTTGAGCAGAGATTGTGTCTCTTGGTGTTAAGCTTCAATGCCCTGTTACGACATCCTCTAGCATGCGTCGTTCCATTTCGCTTGAAATGCATGCAGCCGATAGCGAGTCCTTAAGCCAACCCAATAACGCACGATGCCGCGTTTGCTTTCCCTGAAACGCTGCTTGGAAAGCTTTGCAGCCCAGCCTATCTCGTCAATCAGCCGTTGTCAGAAACAGGCGAGATGAGCGCCCCCATGTCATATTCCGAACCATGGGGTTGATCTCGACGAATCATGGAGCGTGCGCCCGCGCACCATGCGACATCATTCCAAGGTATGCTGCACTTACCACTGAAGCTGCCGGCGCGAGATGACGCTCTGCGCAGTTACCGCTTCTCTGCTCCTGCAGGAGCGCGAACGGCGCTGTAGCATCACGTATGCCAGCGTGATGATGTTTTCTACAGTCTCTGCAATCAAGTCAGTCCATGGACTTGGCCCACTAGCGCAGGTCGGCCCAGCAGTGACGATCGCCCACCCATTTCTTCTGGCTCGCTTTTTCCATTTCTGCGCATGAGCCCCTGCTACCCGGTTGCACGCCGGTTTGGGGGTGCTGTTGAGTTCTCGGGAGTTACAGATAGAGAAAAAAAAAGTAAATCGACCTACTAATGAGCAGACCTGAACCCATCTTCCGCACTCTGAATAGCACGCGTGCATATTCAAGGTACCTCACCGCCGCTTCATAGAAGCTTTGATATACATTCGCTAGCACGGTTGCCACGCTGTTCAATGATGAATCGATAAGCATGGCTTTGAGCTGGATCTTGAATGCGCTATCAGTGTGTCAGCGCAATGTCGGGCTTTCCCATGCATTTGTAGTCTGATTGGCTGGCAGAGGGAAAACAGGCATGGGACCCCATCAAGGCACTCACTTGAGAGCTTTGCGATGAAAAGTCTGGCCCGGCATTTTTGCCAGATCCACCGTCAAAGAATCCTCAACAACTGCTTTACTTAGTACTCTGTCTGCACTTTCGACCCACCTCTCGGCCAATACTACTTACCGGCTTTTGGTGGCCGCTCGGTTTTCTTGCTGATCTCGAGAGTCGTAGTGTCAATGCAGATGCCGCAATAAGGGAATTTCCCACCTGACCCGGTTGTAGCAATTCGTTCACCGTTAGCTATCGTCACATCGAAGTTGGTCAAGGATTTTGCAGGCTGCACCACGACACCATACTCGGGGTGGCCTCGATGCATGACTTGCACGAAGCGTTTAGCGTGCTCTTCTGTGATGGTAATCAAAAGAAAGTCGTCAAGCAGACGGAGTAAGAGACAATCGTCACCAAGCGCAAAATCAAGAATGTCTCGCTCAAGCTCAGCGTAGAAGAAGTTACACAAAATGCTCGACAAGACAGAACCCTGAGGAATTCCCCTTTTTTGGCGGTAGAATCGCTTTCCAATCCGAACTACATTCCGCTCGATATGCTCCCGCAAGAGATACATCAAATCGTCTTTTGTTTCACAGCGTTGCATGTTCATGTTCGCAAAGACGGTGTTCGCCTTGCTTCCCACAAACCTGTCCCGCACGAGCTGATGGAAAGGCGTCACATCGGTTGCTGCATGACTGTATGCAACATAGCGCTTGCGGGGCATGGGGTTAACATGGTTGCCATTGAGGCGCTGCAGAGGTCCCAGGGCAGACATCTCGACATGCTTGCTTGTGTAGTATTCCTGTGTCAACATAAGGCTCTCAACCATACTCAACAGACGTGATTGAGGTATACTGTCAAAACAAGCCTGCACGTCGACCTTGGCGAAATAGAACGGTTTGTTGTCGAGGCCCCGCTGTTTGATTGAGTTCCTAAACGCTGTTAATTTTGGGAGCATATCCCCAACTGAGAATAGCGAGCAACCAAATTTGTCTGGTTGTAACGACTACAATGTGGTTAGGCACGGCTAATTCGGCACGGACAGGATACTGACCTTTTCGTAATTTAAGGCGTTGAAGGCGGGTGTCATGACCGTGTTGATGCTTCGCCCAAGCGCCATGGCTCCATGGCGCAACACCTGTTGTCGCCGTCTGAGGTTCATGATAGTCCGGAAACCCTGCTTTTTGGGAAGCAAGCGTATATCGCTGAAACCCAGCTGACGTGCGGATAGCAGCTTTTTTGCCCGATCTTTTGGCAGCTCTTCAAACATATTCAGGCGCAGTGTCTTCAGGGCAGGCTCTGCAAGCATACGCCAGACGTCGTGGCGAAAGTAGAAGAGTCGATTGCGATGGATATTTGATTCCGTCACATGGAAGTTGGTTCGGATCAAGGGGATTAGGAGGGAGTCAAAGACCCAGTAGACAAATTCTAGGAATATCTCTGTACGTTTGTCCAGATCCGACTTTGAGAGCTTGCAACTGTTGTCTTGGCCTGGTGGGCTAAGCCATGAAATGGTAGTAATCTGCGTTGGCTTAGTACATACCCACAAGGAAGTGCTGAAAAGACGTACATGTATCTTCTGTGTGACTTGATGGAGGGTAAGCGACTCAAATCTCCGCAAAGCTACAAACTGGTCTACCCAGTACATGATGGTGTGCTCATTATGATCATCGCCCCATGCAGCTTTTGGTATGACTTTGGATAGGACCCTACGGCAAAAGGCTGAAACATGTGCCGCAGGACAGGCCATGTCAAGGACACAGGATTGCTGGATTGAGCTAGATTCAGACATGGAAGAATTGGTACGATCACACTGGGCCAGTTGTGTGGCTGCTGCTTCATTTGCTTTGGGCTGAGCCACGCTCTTCTTCGATTCAGACTGTGCAGATAACGGTATGCCCTATTGGAGTCAGTGAAGGCTGTGATCCAAAAGAAGAGTAGAAAACACCTCAACGGGACAATAGTGGCGAAGCAGCTCCGTGTACGAACAGCGTTGGTTCAAAATTCGGAGTTTTTCAATCAGCTTTATTACGTTGCCTCGAAGTCTCCTGGGGACGCGCAACTTCCACTTGGCCACTTGGTCCGCATCAGTTGCCTTGCCACCTAGTTGGCGACACATGCTGGTATGGATATCTTTCTCACGCAGTGTGTAGTCTTTGAAAGGCATGGCACTTTCACGAGCATCTACCTTTGAAGTGAAGACATTGTGCAAGCCAAACTGACGAGGAAAGATGTAACGCATAATATGGACTGTCTGCTGCCTGTCGGCTCGGTCAGGGTACCGATTCAAGACGTCTACAGATCATGTCAGGAGGTGCAAATTCATGGGACAGGGAACGCACGTATATGGCGCAGGCCAAATCTGACGCGCCCATTTGCATTCAGGGCGGCCTTTGCATACAACATGCGACTACGGACAAATGCAATTGACCCAGGTGTTCTGTCTTCGCTATGGAGATAGAGTGACTTTGTAATTGGCTGGATATTTGTGTTTGGGTTTCCTGGCCCATTGCTCACGACACTGTCAAGTTGCACTTCAGACAGGGGCATGCCTGAGAGCTGGTAGTAGTTTCCAATGTTAGCTTCGACGGGAAGAAAGATGGCGCAGTCTAAAAGTAGGCCCATCATGATGCGAGCGCCGTCTTGACCTAAGAGCGCGTGTAATCGGCACCATACCGAGTCCTTTAGAGTTTGCACATGGCTGTTGTCGTGAACTTGCTGCAGGCCAGGGATGGAAGCCCTCGTATTTGGGTCATGATGCTGTTCACTGCGGACTCTTGCAGCCCTTTGGAAGCCGTGGCAGAGCACATGGGCAGGCCGGTAAGAGGAAGAGCGGGTAAACAAGTGCCAAATCACACAGTCAACAATCTACATGTATTCAGTAGCGGCTCATGGAGATGCAGCGCAGACGGGCAGCACGGGAAAGGCCAGGCACGTGACGCGACATACCTCGGGCTGCTTATAGTAGCCAGGCTTGTAAGTGGCCCCTGGGGTACTTTGTGAGCGCTGCTGGGTGAATGTCTGTAAATCTTGGTCACGTTCCTTGGCCGCAAGTGCGTGTTCTTGTGCGGTTACGTGTGCTGCACAGCCGACCAAGGCCGAATCGAGCAGCTGCGCCACGATGTAATCGACATGTTGCACAGGGCTGGTGTCTGAAGTTTGAGCCGGAGCAGCAGGGGCACGTCCAAGCAGGGCTATTCTCCGGTGTCTATTCTTGGATGACGAGGGCAGCCTTGACAGCAGATAGTGGCGCAGGGTAGAGAGTTGGGGATAGAGACGGTGCAGGACGGGATGGGGGTGGTGATGGAGGAGGGGAGGTGTGGCATTGGGGGATTGGTCGGCAGCAGCCAATTGTCTGTTGGACACCCCCACGGGGGCGGTGCGGACGCCGTCATGATTGCCGCGCTTCCTCTTCATGGTGGGCGTGGTGTTTTGGACGACAGGGCGGTCAAGTGAATGGGTGGATGGATGGGTGGATGGTTGGTTGGTTGGTTGGTTGGTTGGATGGGGACATGGACAGACAGACGGTGATCGGGCAAGTGGCCGAGTCGTGTGGTTGTTGCTTGGCCGGGCAGGGGTGGTGGGGCGTGAAGCTACGGGGACGCTAGAGACGCGACGGGACGCGCCATGCCAGGGGAGAGCAGGTGGTGGATGGCTGGAGTTTGTGTTCCGTCATGGCACTCGCTCTCTCGGTTTCACGCTGGTTGCAGATGGCGAGCGCTGGTGGATGGGCTGGAGGGTGCCGTCTGTGCCATGAGCCCCAGGGGGTGCAGCAGGCACACATGCACATGTACATAGATAGACAAATGGTACGTAAGTAAATAGAATCAATAGGCCTACACGGAGGGCGGCACTCGCTAGCATGGCCTGCTCGCCCAACTGGCGCCTGGGGCTACTGGCTGGGAAGCGAGATGCGGGAGTAGTACGTAGAGTAGTGGAAATAATGGTGGTGGTGGTAGTGGTAGTAGTAGTGGCTGCAGCAGGAGGACAAGGAACAAGGACGAGGCATAGGGAACAGGCGGGCGGACAGCCAGACAGTGCATGGGGAACACACTGGGCGTATCTGATGCTCCAAGCCCACGCCCCGTCGCTGTCAGTCTACTTACACCTGTCTGCGCCTGTCTGCGCCTGTCTACGCCCGTCTGCACCCGTCTCCAGGCCGTCTCCAGGCCGTCTGTTCCCCCTGCGGCACCGTTGTTGTCCCGTTTCCTAGCTCGATCCTGGGGGGCTGCAACCAGGCACCTCGACTGCATTCCTTCACTGCCCCCAGTGGCAGCGCTATCGCCCGGCAACACTTCCCCCCCCCAAGCGCACCATCACAACCACGACCACGACCACAACCCCCCTCCCCCCAGCACCCGCTCTCTCGCCCTCTGAGCCGGTGTGACGCTCAACCGTGCAGGCCCCGGGCGACGGCAGGCGTGTGTCCGCCGCGATTGGCTGTGCCCCTCGCCTCTCCCCCAGTCCAATAGACGGCTGGCGTTGGCTGCGCTGGCACCCCCGGCTGCTGCTCTGCCCTGCGCTGCTCTGCGCTGCTCCGCTGCTCTGCCCGACACTGGACCGCCTCTCCCCACGACGACGGCGCTGCCTTGCCTCTGCGCTCCTGCGCCCGCCAGCAATGGGAGATGGAGTCTGATCAAGCGCATGGATATGCATACGACCCCGGCCTCTCCGTATCGACCTGGCTGCAATCCACCGAACTGCACCCCCCCGAAGATGCTCTGGCCGCCGAGCCAGACAAGTACTATTCGGCCTACACCTCCACCTCCACCTCGACCGAGCTCCAAGCTCCTGCCTCACCGCAACACAGCCCAGACATGCCCACCGCGCGCCCCCGACACTCCAATGCCAACGCCGCCAAAAACACAACCGCCTCTACCGCTGCCTCGCCCGCTTCTGCCTCGGCCACCCGCTCCCCCCCAAACCAGTCAAACAAAGTAAAGGCACTTGCTGAGCGCTTTGAGCGCTCCCCCGACGCTACCTCGCCCACGGTCTCGTCCACGCTGCGCTCCAGGTCCCGCGATCCCTCCAGGGCTGTTTCGTACGACATCCACCGCCGTGCCAATGCCTCGGTTTCGTCCACCGCGTCGGCTGCGCGCCCCAGCAGAGAGGCCTCGTACGGCCCCCACAAGTTTAGCAATTTGAAGTCTAGGGAAAGACCCCAGCCTGCTCCCGCGACCCCTCGGAACACGCGCCGCACAAATGGCATAAAGGCCAGCATCGACCAGCACGCCTCGTCGTCAAAAACAAAATCCACCACAAAAAGTCGCCCGTCGACATCTGGCCAAAGGCAGCTATTTGGCGAAGTACTGACTGGCCAGGATGTGTCATCGCCTGGCTTCGGAATTCCCACCGTCGACGACACGCTGGGAGAGGCTCCATTGCCTTCCACATCCCACCACACTTCACGCCATGGACGGTCGGCTAGTGGCCCGACTGCAGTATCGCTGCAGGACTCGCAACGCACACAGTCCCACGACCAAACAACGTCGCGGTCACCCGCGCGGCACACTCCACGCTCACGAATCCCCGTAGCCACACGACGAATGAGCATTGGCTCAGACTCCAATTCCTCGACCCGCTCCGTAAAATACACTCCCACACGCGCAATGAGCCACAGCAACAGGACGTCTCCCACACGAATGGAGAGGGTACTAGCCGCTGCCGCTGCCACTCCAACCTCACGTGGTGCAGACCAATCAACACTGCCCGCTCTAGCCTACCGCGGATATCGTGAAAGAGGGAAATCGCCTCTAGGCGTGAGACCTGGACCAAGCGTAGCCGCTGTTGTCACCGCCCCGCCTCCCCCAACATCGCCTCGGCTGCGGAACTCGCGAGAACGACAGCCTCTCCAGCCTTCGCCTGCCTCCCGCTCCCGAAGCTCCGACCGGCAGGACGAGCACGGATACTTTCCAATTGCAAGCAGCTTCCAACTCCAACCGGAGCCGTCAGAGGGGCTCCCCGGCGTTGCTGAACTTGAGCAGTCTTTCGAGGCACATGCCCAGGCGAAGCGTCCCTCGCATGACCAAGACTCATGTGCACCGGACCAACAACACTTGAGCCTCCAGACTTCTACCTTGACCGTACCCCCGCCCAATCAACCACAATCGGCAGTGACCGATTTTGAAGAATCGCCTGTGCTGGGACTACCCGGAAGTTTCGTCCTTACGCCGCCGGCAGCCCATCAGAATTCGGATGAGCAGCTCTTACAACCCACCGTCTTCCATGCCTCTGCCCAGAACAGCGCCTCACACACACCCGACATTGAACAATCAGAGTTAGGTGTCAGGGAATCAATACCAATTATGCTCAGCGATGAGCAGTCCATAAAACCTTGGGAGTCGGACACCGACACCTTCAACGAAGGCCTCAAGGCCCTGTCATTTGACTTCAAATCGGACCATGGCTACGATGCAAACGAGGCTCTGTCTGCATCTTACCCGAAGCGTGACACACTCTATCCGGATGATTCCGCCAGCGTAGCGGCTCACCGAAAACGCGTGTCTCTTACACCAAACACAGAGACATATAGTGTGGTGAACTCAGTCTTGAACATGTACCACCAGTCACCAGTCATCTCACCAGAAATGGCGTCTGTGTCACGGGAACGAGTACACCAAGTCTCCCCTGTAATAGCACAGCACAAGGATTGGGGGTCCAAGGAGGCTACAGAGACATACCTTGCGCGATTGCTAAGTGACGCAAACGGGTCAGCACGCGACACTACTAAGCTTGAAATAAGCAACACAACATCACCGCCACGTCCATCAAGAACCCCACCACAAATTCCCCCACAGTTGCCAGATGCTGCCCCTAGTGGCACTGCCATCATATATCCCTCATCGTCGCGACGTTATTCAGGCGCATCAACAACCACTACCATTCAGGAAGATGCATCCCACTCTGGCAGTTCTTCCGGAAACCGTTCTCGCAACGCATTGTCACAGAGTTCCTCCAACGATCGCCCATCGGCTCCCACTAATGGCCTTGAACTGCCCCAGCTTGCCTGGACCGATGGTGGCCTTGGCTTGGACTTGCAGCATTCCATGCCGCATTCGCCCTTGAACGCACCACCCCGGCCCAACTATTCACCACCACCTCCTCCCGTTCAGCCCTCTATTGACGGACAAGTAGCTTCGCAAAACGCCTCATACAATCACCTGATGCATCGCCAACTCTCTCGGCCCTCGCTCAGCGATGAGCAATTCGAGATGCACCCTGCTCGGTCGCGTACACCAGTCATTCATATTCATGAAAAGAGCCTAGAAGATCGATACGGCACCCCGCAACCCATGGAGATGTCTGTTCCCACACCGACTGAAGGTGAAAAGGGGGAAGATGGCCAGCCTGATCCGGTGAAGCAGGCGCTGATCAAGCGGTATCGTACACTGGAAGAGTTGCTCACAACCGAGCATCAATTCTGCATCGATATGATGATTGCACACAACATTTTCGAAGCTACAGCGCAAAACTTAATGAGCGAAAAGGAGAAGAGGCTCTTGTTCAGTAACTGCAAAGAGCTCGAAAAGTTTTCCTTGTCGTTGTTCCGGGCTTTCAAGAAAGCCGCAAAACCGATTGTCAACTACGAAATACCGCCTCCAACTGGCCCTTGGAACCGCGATTCTACCGACAGCAAACCAGGCGATGCCCAAGATTCATCAGCGAGTACTCAAAGACCGTCAGAGGACTCTGTGAACCAGTTTGAGAACTGTACGCTGGAGAATGATCGCTTGACAACAATCGGCCAGGTATTCCTTGACAACAAGGAAAAGATGGAAAGACTATACACAACCTACTTCTTGAACCAAGATAATGCAAGTGCATACATCAAGAAAAACCAAGGAAATGAAATCTTATCCGGATGGGTCACTGCTTGCTTCGAACAAGTGGAAAATATGACCCAAGCGTGGGATCTGGATTCTCTTCTGCTGAAGCCGTGTCAACGTCTGCTCAAGTATCCGTTGATACTCCAATCGCTGCAAGAGATTACCGACCCAGACCATCCGGATTTACCCAAGATCCGGGAGGCCTATGAGGAACTCAAGGCAATGAGTCAACGCATCAATGAGGCCAAGGCACGTTCTGATACCTTCCGCGCTGCCGCTTCTGAGGGCAAGAAAGAGAAGAAGAGTGGTTTGGGCAAGACGTTTGTCAAAGCATTTATCCCCAAAGTGGACAAGAGCAAAGCATATGATGAAGCAGACAAGACATTCAAGGACCAGGACTACAAGTCCAAGGAGCAAAAGTTTGGCGGTCATTTCTTCCAACTTCAGATTGTCATTCGCGACTTTGAACAGTACCTCGAAGCCATTACTGAGCACTATCTACAGCTCAATATTGTCTTCCTGGGCTTCATCACTGTTTGCGAAGTGGCGCCATCGGTATATCCTGAGATTGAGAGCACATGGCGAAAGTGGGCAATGGCCCATTTCGAGCTGCAGAACAAGGCTCTCGAAGAGCATGTAAGTTGGCATATAGTCTACTATTTTTGGGTAAAGCTAATCGTGCATTAGAAAGCTGCTGTTCGCAGTCGCGTGCTGAAGCCGGTTGGAGATCTCTGGGAGATGTGGGTATCGTATCAGAAGACAATAGAGCAGCGCAAGAAGTACCTGTTGTACTATGTCAAACACAAGCAGGCCATTGATCGCGGTGAGAAAGTGGATCCCGACCTAGAAGAGTCGTCGAAGAAGTTCTCTACGATCAACGACACACTCAAGCACGAGCTGCCTTTGCTCTACGAGAGAACAAAAGGTCTTATGCGCACGCTCATGACACTGTTCATGTGCTTGCAAAAGGATTGGTACAAGACTTGCTCAAAGAAGATTCTTCCTCTACTCGAAAGCGAACCGCAACACACGACATCGCTTCGTTACGATCTCGAGTCATATGTTGAGCGCTTCCACTCCGATTATAAGCCGATGCAAGAACTTGCCAACAAACTTGGCATTGTTAACCGAAATCTGCTCATCGACATCTCGAACATGACCTCGCCCGTTCCCACGTTCTCCTCGGATGGTGGCGGTTCGTCGCGTAACTCTTCTTCTCGTCGCACCGAATCAATGAGCAGTGACACATCCTTGATCGACTCACGAAACCGCAACAGCGGCGGTTATGCTCCACGGTCACATCCCCGTCCTATTGAGAACCCGCCCCGTTCTTCTCCTGCAGGGCCTGCTTATCCCTCGTTGCATCCGCCTAACGGAGCAAGTCGGACAGGTCCTGGACCTACGTCGCTGCGCGAGGCGCGAGCACTCAGTCCTTCCTCAGACAACAGCGACACTACCGTCATGCATAGTGAACGCCGTAATACTGGACCTTCTCGTAGCAACC